AAATGGCCGTAGGGCCTCCAGGTTGCGGTGATGCGACCTGGGGGCCCTTATCCAACCTCGGGTCCCGTGAGGGGCCCGTGTGGAGGCTCTCAGCATGTAACAAGGCCCCCTCCTTATGAAGATGAGCCGGGGCGCGAGCGAAGCTGCCGATCTGATGGCGGAACGTAGCGAGGAGGCCGGGGAGCTGAAGTGCCCGGCGTAGTCTTCTCCTTGCTTAAATAACGTGAGAGAACTGCAGGGGTGGTGGCCTGCAGTTCCGAACGCGTCAGCCARCGGTCAGCCTTGTGGCTGCAGTAGGAAAAGTGAAGTAGAAACTCCGTTTCCTTGTTGCCATGGCGCCGGTCGGTGATGATGTAGCCGGTCTCCTGAAATCCGTCCATGGAAGGAGGGTCTTGCGTACGTCGACCGGGGAACTCGTCGGATTTTGCCGAAACAAAAGGAGCGAGTTTGGAACAGTGGAACACCGTGTGGACGGGCAAGTGAGGTGGCACCGCRATGCGGAATGAAGGCCCCTCAGGATCATCACCAACTGCAGAGAGAATGCGCCAAGGCCCCATCCATTTGGGAAGGAGCTTGCGAGAGATGTCTTGTTCAAGGCTRAAYTCCGCGGCGGAGACCCAAACCAGATCGCCGGYGCGGAAYGGGCAAGGAAGACGATTGCGGTTGGCTTGGCGGCTCATCCGTATTTGCGTCTTTGACATCTGATCCCGTGCCTTGACAAGGAGCTCTTGCATGCGACGAAGGATCGTAAGATGGTCGTCGCTCTCGGCTGTGCGTGGCAAAATGGCGTCCAGCGGCGATGAGATGGGTGAACCATGCTCAAACTCGAATGGCGACATCCCAATAGCCGGATGGATCGATGAGTTGTAAGCCAACTCCACGTCTGGCAAGCGCTCGACCCAATCAACCTGGTCAGGACGGATGAGAGTGCGTAGGAGGACTTGAGCGGTCTGATGCGCCCTTTCCGTCTGACCGTCGGTTTGCGGGTGGCGAGCCGAACTCGGCTTCAACGATGAGCCCCATCGTTTGACGAGGGCGATCCAAAAGTCGGAGAGAAAGCGAGTGTCCCGGTCGCAAACGATCTCCTTGGGGTAGCCCTTGGAGCGGATCCAACCGGTGTATAGGACCTCGGCTAACTCCGGTGCCTTTGCGTGATAGCGGYAAGGCAAAAACATGGCGTACTTGGTGAGGCGGTCGACGACCGTGAAGATCCCATCAACGCCGGTCTTGTGCTTTGGGAAGGGGCCGGTGATATCCATAGCGATCGCTTCCCATCGCCCAAGGGGTACTGGTAATGGGTGTAGCTCGCCGAACGGACGATGGTTGCGYGACTTGCAAYGCCKACAAACTTCSCATGACTCACAATAGCGGGWGGCGTCCTTGAGAAGGTCGGGCCAATAGAACCGCTGGCGAAGTCGGCCAAGTGTACGGTTGACACCAAAATGTCCGGAGGCGGGCGTATCATGAAACTCGCCAAGAAGCCGTGTGCGCAAGTGTGAATCACTCGGCACACAAAGAAGATCCTTACCTCGTGAATGCACCAGTAAGTAGCCCTCTTGGATCCGATAATGCGAAGGCACCGGATTCGGAGAGGAGCAATTTGCGTACTTGTCGCGAAAGTGGGGGTCGGCTTGATAGCCGCGGATGAAACTCTCCCGCAAGTCGTYGTCAATCTCGAAGGTARAGTAGACTGCGGTGCAAAGATCCGGTCGCCGTGAGAGGGCGTCCGCAAAACGGTTTGACTTCCCGGGAATGTGATCGGGGAAAAAGTCAAACTGGTCGATGAA